TCTGATATGTCTCTATAATTACTTTCCTCTTCTAAATGCTGATTATATAGAAGCTGACAGCTGAAGAAGGAATAGTAATAGTTAGGTGGCAGGTAAATCGTGTATCGTTCTCTGAAATTTCAGGACTCAGAAGCATATCATCTGGGTTCCCATGTACATTTATGAATGCTGATGGAACAAAGGGCAATGTCCAAAGGTTCTGGCCTATGACACAATTCAACACCAAAATACAATATTACTATCCACTCGTCCAGTGAACAGCGGGGTCTATACACTTGTGATCGGCACTGGACAAGGCATTTATTTCGGTGCAACACAGACTAGACATCACATATTCTGCTTTATGCTTCACTGCACTGACTGAACTATATATGACCAATGGTTTTATAGTCTGCTTTGAGGATTCTCCCTTTAACTGTAACTGCATCTCTTGGGGGTGCTGTATAACATCACTTTTCTTCTGTAGTTTGTTTCAAATAGAAAATTTATAGTAACTCCAACTCATATGTCTCCATAATAGAAACTGATGGTTGAAAATAGCAGCATGAAAGCTTTGCAGAGAAACTAAATATTTCTAGCTCTTAAAGGTAGGGTAGGCAATCCTGTTCAGAAGCACGTTTTGTTATACTGGGTGAAATGGTCCCTCTGTTGTCAGAGGAATCAATTCGTTATGTCTTCAGAAAAAAGAACGGAGAAAATCAGAGCTCTCTGTCAGCTGCAGGACTGAGAAAACCTTCGACAATCCTGTTGCCCTTCGCTCCGAAGACAAAAACCAATCAGATGCCTTCATGTCTTTAGTTCTGCACCCCGGCCCCCCTCTGTCGCTGCCTGCTGCGCCCGCCCAGCATGTGCTGTTGCCAGAAGACAAACAGCACACTTCTCTGCAGAACGCCAGAGTTCTCAGAACGGCAATGGCCTGGGAAGAGTAACCGCCTTCCACGGTTACTTGTAACGGCTTGCCCGAGAAAAAGGCAAAGGAAAGGGAAAGCCGGAGGATGAAAAGGGCAAGCTAACAAAAAGGCTCTGGCGATAAAGCAAGAGGTCAAAACCAGTGTCAAACCGGTGTAGCTTTTGGGAGCGGGTGGAGGCAACTGAGGGGATCAGAAGTGTCGAAAAGTTTGATGCCGAGTTGCTCTCTTTCTGTGGACAGGTAATTATTTATTTTCTTTGGGGATGATTTGTTGTTTTCATGAAATATGTAACTTTTCCTACGTAGTTACGTTGTTAGCTTGTATTAGCGTAATGCTAATATACTTCTCGTGGAGTTTAAAACGGGTCGGTGACGCTAGTATTGAAAAGATTATAGTATATGAATTTTTAAGATATATCTACCATCAGTCGTCAGTGATCTGCATTATTATTGTGATAAAAAGACGTATATATTGGCTTTTACGTTTTACAACTGCGGTGATGTAACGTTAACGTGCCAGTTTGTGGGGGCGTGGCTTGGACCGACACACTGACGGGAGGGGGGTGGAACCATGAGCCAAT